GATGGGCCTACAGAAATAAAGGAAACCAAATTACTTGCATCTTATCTGCAGAGCAGTTTGCACTGATGGGGACTATGTAGGAAGCACAGGCACCCTACACACCAATTAAGAGAACTGCATCCATCAGAAAGTACATCTACCCGAAGAGTACTCTGAGAAAGCCAAAAATAACAGCTGCTGCCACACCAGAACAGCCCAAGCACCACGTACAGGCAATGCCTGCAAAACAGAAACCAAGATGCCACACACAAACACTTCCTCTTCCTCCCCCCACACCCTAGACAGCAGCAAAAAACCTGAGATTAAACACTTGCCAGCAGCCTGCTCTGCATTCCTGTCACATCAGGAATATAAAAGAAGGAGACTGCTAGCCGCTCCTCCACACATCTGAAGGGTTCCTTCAGTTTACAGCAAGTAATACAAACACTTCACATGATTCTTACACAAGTTTGTTGCATTTTTTCTTTTCTTCCACACCTTTTCTCTAGGCCACCCGCTCCACAGCTCCCTGGGGACCCACTGTATTTACTAGGTTTGGTTTTGACATATTCCTTCTCGAAGACTGGGAAGTCAGAAGTAAAAGTAGCTGCTCCTAGGCAAGTCATATTTTATAAACAAGCAAGAGCAGAGCGACAGCCCTCCTGAGCTGCCACACAGAAACCCTGCAAGTTCAAATCTAAACCCTGCCCAGCACCAAGACTGACAGTGTGACACTGTCAAATGCAAGAGTAAACAAATCCAGCCGCAGTTTTCTGTTGATACTAACTTCCAAGATTATAAATCCCAGCATCAACACTCAACCATCATGCATGTCTCAAAAACCTTACAAGCTCATTCCCAATGGGCAGACTGGGGGAATTCAATGGCAGGAAGTGAAGTGCCTGGGTTACAAGGCAATGCCCCAGTATTGGTCCAACCAAGACTCTGCCAGCTTTTATAAAACTTCAGTAGCTTCAGTAGCATTAATCCATGGATGTAAGAAAGGCACCTCCTCTAGAGCACAGACTGGGAATACTCAACTTCCAACTTAGCACCTGCACTTGATTCCAGTGGAAACCAGAAGACAGTATCCATGTGCCAGTCAGAACTCACCAGATCCACAACAACCTTCAGACAGAAAGAAATCAACTAAACACTGAAATCTAGAAAGACAAGTGGTCAAACCTTTTTACAAACATTTGGTCACCGACTGAGCCAGACCATGTTCTGTCAGCAGACGGTTTACAGAGCTCCAAGCTCCTGCAGGGCTCGTCTTCTCACATCCCTCAGGTCACAATTTCAGAGCTGGATAATTTCAGAGCAAAATGAACAAGCTCTATACATGGGGGAGGAAAGGAGACAAGAAACAAACTAGGCAGCTCAGAAGGGATGAGAACAACATGCAACCGCATGATTAAGAAGAAAACATAATGCTTGTTTAGAAGGCTAATTAACTGATTAAGGGCACAGGTACTAGTTCAGCTTGGGCATTTTTTGACCTCTGAGTCCTTGCTATTCTAACCTTGACTTCTCACTACATGCCATGCAGTACAGAATAACTTGCAAGTCAGTTGACTTACACAGTCTGCCATGAGAGAGAATTCCACATCTAATTTTGCTTTATGGTATATTTTTATAAGGACATACCCAATACTGTCTTCCTGATGATGAAGCACACAATGGCACTAATCACAAAAGTAGCAGGAAAGAAGCATGGACATTACAGCTCAATTTTTAAAAGACATGTAAACATGTATTTTAAAATTGTATTTTTACATAAGTAAATCTATAAAACCATGTAGTTGCATTGTTTCACAGTCACAGTGCAGGTTACCCTTAACCAGACTCCTTTCCACCACCAATCCCATGTTCTTACCATTGCTCTTGCACCAGCAAATATCATTTAAGCACCCATAAAGCAAGCGAAAAAAAAAAAAAAGTTTGTTTTCAGTTTGATCAATTCCTAAGTCAGAGAATTCTGATTCCCACCTGCACAATCACCCCAGCTGGCACCAGTAACAGGGCAAGAACCTCTAGTTAGTTGCAGTGTATAGTTACATGAGCTTAAAGTGACTGTGAAGCTATGCACAGGAGGTGGCACAACCAAAACCCCTGGTGGAAGAAGATCCTAGAAGCTGTCCCCTTTCTCACCCCAACAGTGAATCATGCTCAGTTGCTCTTCTTCTATGTAAGAAGCATGCAAATGTGCTACAAGGTGCCTACAAGATAACCAGAGTAGAAACTAACCTAGGAAAGACACATGCAACTTAAGAGGGAGCTCTATCTGCATTCCTGACTCTTTCCACACTTTTGGTCACCAGAAATTCCTGTGGAAGTGACCTCCTATACATCACCTTTCCCCTCAAAGAGCCAAGGATCACCTCTCCCCTGCTCTCCCAAAGTCCTTATTAGACAGGAAACAAAAGGACACTTCAGATCTGCCTAACGGGCTCTAACCAGGATGGCACAGGGTGCTGTTCGTCCATGGACCTGGAAATAGTTGTGCTGAAAGAGCTGGTAAGGGTAAGAATCACTCTCTTATGCTATCAGAAGCAAAATTAGCCCTAGGACAATTCAAAACATTGACAAAACAAGACAAAACATTACACAGTGGAAACCACAACCCAGTGTTATCTGGCCATACACAGAGTTCACAGTCTTTTCAAAACACAGTACTTTCCTGCCAGCTCCAGAACAAAGCACTTACCTTAGAGGTCAGTGCTAAACCAACTCAGCCACGGAAAACTATTTCTCAATCTCAATAACGAGAAGCTGCTACACAGGATTAGGATGTCCCTAATAGACCTATTTGGGTTATAGTGACATCACCTAATAACCAATACATCCAATTCTAAAACACTCCCAAGCAAATTTCGGTAAAAATGAAATCAAAGTTCAGTGACACATCACAAGAATACAGTATTTTTTTCTCCATCAAGAATCTGATCATACACACATAGGTGAGTACATCAGCTGTTATGACAGTTCAATACAACAAGACTTGCACTAGACATTATAGTAGATTATTTTGCAAGACAAGGTACCAACTAATGGCCCTACTGACTATGTAAGTATTACATAAAGAATTAACAAGAGACCCAAGCTCACACTGTTTTGGCACCATTCAGTGCTTCATTAGCAAAGGCTAACCTTGGAATTCAGCTCTGGAAGCTCTGAACACCAAGTTAAGCCAGGTGAACCCAAAGGAAGGAAAAGCAGATGGAACAGAAACACAGCAAGACAGTCTGAAATGAAAGGCATAGTAAATAGTAAAGCATATTGCTGGAAAGACAAATAAGGCCTTGCTGATTCAGAGCCTTAAGATGGAGGAACACCAGTTTAAAACCAGAGTAGCTGAAAACTGAACAGGAGTCAGTACCACCTCTCCTAATCCCAGTCCTCCTTGGAAACCCTGGGAAAAACTGCCGGTTCCAGTCCAGGTCTGCAGACCCACGAGCACATCTGCCTCCAGGGCCTGTCAGGCACCTTCCAGCCCCCTCCGGGGCAGCAGCAACCCCCGCGCCCGCCCACACCCCCTCCCCAGCCGGGGCGGCCACTGCCCGGGCCGCAGGAAGGGCCCCCAGCACCACCAGCTTCCTCACCATGTTGGCTTCATGTTCCCACCGCGGTTGGCCGAGTTCCTTCCTGCAGGCTGCTCCTGTGAGAGGGAAGGGTACACAGGGAGGGGACGCTCGATCTGCGGGCCGGGCAGGGTCCCAGGCAGGGTCCCGGGCAGGGACAGCGAGGCCCGGGCACCGCGCTGCCCA